GTTACATGTACAGAAACCTTTGACATTTTTTTGACAATTGCCAATTGACAAACATTCATTGGATGTTGGACACAAAGCACATTTAAATCAGTCAATGCAGTATTGTCATGTTATCATCTGTAATGCTTTATGTAATTTTCGTATATATATCTTCTTATTATCACTCTAAGCAAACGAAGTTTGGTGTGTGTGATTGCTAAAATCCATGTATGCACAACAATTGGTTGTCGAAGTATGTCATGTTACACTAAAAGTCAAAGTCATTGACGTTCAACAGTTTTTCCCAAAGAAAAACAAAGTCGAGTTAGTTACTTAATTAGAAGCATTATGCTGCATCGCTTAGAAATATATATTAAAATTTGGAGCTCAATTTATTAAAATTAATCTTGTTAAAATAGTCAGTACAAAAGTAGGGAGTTGTTTATTTATCTTGTATAAAATCAATATTAAGTGGGTGTTTGGTGGGGATTAAAATTAGATTTTTAGTAGATTGTAATAGAAGTTTTTGAAATTTGTGGTTGAAAAGATGTGTGACCCATGAAAGATGTGGTCAATATTGATTGTTTGACTTTGACTTATATTAAAATCCGATTTTAATCTGAAACAAACAGGGGTTAAATATCCCTAAACACTATACACAAAGAAAGGACAACAAATAGGATACCTCATAACACAAGCCTTAAGATAGTTTGAATTGAACTATTACTTTCGAAGTCAAATGTAACCATTGTCAATTTAAAAGGCCGTTCCTCATTTCAGCCTTTCAGGGAAGATCGAACCGAAACTTATGCCAAGCTCCTAAGGTCAAAAACAAAAGTGCTTGATCCAGAAATACAGAAACTTGTACAACATCAAGATGCTAAACTCGACGAAGATTATAACGGCTCATTATGATTCGCTCATTACTTATGAGCTGATCATCTCATGAGTGGGGGTGATGAATGGGGTTTAAATTCTACAACATGAAAAGAATTATGAAGTATATAAAACAAAAGATGACATAAAAATATATCGGGGATCAACAATGCTGCAAATCTAAAACATTGAGGACGGTACTGTCAAGAAAAATAAGTCGGAGGATTAAGTTTTAATAATCTCCATACGTTGAAGACCAAGGGTGCTACATATCCATTTATTTTATTTCTATTTTAAGTAAAAGTAAATGTATAAATTGTCTTTTCAACAAAAGATTAAATTTTAATAAGGTAGGGGCTAGCACATTTATTTCTTGAACAACATATTGTACAATGTCAGAGGCATGTCAATATATTCACATATATTCAATTTGGGTGGTTGGGATTTAATTCTATTCTCAATTACTGCACTTTAACCAGAGCCGGCCTGGGGTAAAGCCACTAAGACAATGGCCTTGGCCTCCAATATTAGTGGGCCCCTAAAGAAAAATGTATAATTTATAACATTATTTGCTCACCTAATTATTTTTTATATTTAAATCTTTCCATACTTTATTTACCAACACGGGACGTTAAATATTCATTTCTTCTTCATAATCCGAGCTTCTAGGATTTCTAATTCAATCTTGAATCTTCAATTCTCCAAAGCATTTGAATTCATTAAGATGCATACCGTAATTTTTTCTATAAAAATGGTTTGAACAACCAATTGTACGATGTTGTGGTTGAGATTTAATTCTATTCTCAATTATTGTACTTTAACCAGAGCCGGCCCTGGGGTAAAGCCACTATGGCAATGGCCTTGGCCTCCAATATTAGGGGGCATATGAAGAAAAATGTATAATTTATAATATTATTTGTTCACCTAATTATTTTTTATATTTAAATCTTTCCATAGTTTATTTACCAACACAGGACGTTAAATATTTATTTCTTCTTCGTAATCCAAGCTTCTGGGATTTCTCATTCAATCTTGAATCTTCAATTCTCCAAAGCATTTGAATTCGATAAGACGCAAACCGTAATTTTTTTTCCATAAAAATGGTTTGAATTTCAATCCAGTTCCATCTTTTCAGTTTGCTATCAAATTACCATCTGCACAATTACTGTTACAATAACAGGCCATGCCCTACGAGTTACTCATTCATCTCGAATTAGATCTTGAAGTAACCATTCATCAGCCAAAGTGTATGTTGTGGAATTTGTGTATCTGTTTATTTTCAGTAAACAAACTAAAATTTGTAAATTTAAACTCATTCAATCCTTTAAAGAGATCAAATCAGCTTGAAAGGTATAAAGAATAATTTTCTTAGACCGAGCACAATTTCAAGAGATGTTTCACGAATTTCTTTTGAACAATGAGATAGACTGTCAAAATTAGTGTTGCTTCGCTTGTAGAAAATTATGTTTAAGGCTTTATAATAATTAGTCGTCTAGGGCCTCAAAATTTTCGAGGCCGGCCCTGACTTTAACATAAGTTCTATGGAAATTTGCACTTTCGTTCCAAATTTTGGTGACATGTAAAAAATCTACCTCATGCTTTTTCTAGCGTAATCCATTTACAATCTTTCAATTATGTAACAAAACTCGTCTTTTCCTCCACTTTGGTCATTAAGCCCATTTTTGGTATTGATTTAAATCAAATTTTAATCTAAGTCAAACAGTCAATATTAACCACATATTTCATGAATCCCACAACTTTTTAACGACGCATTTCAAAACTTTTTATCAAAATCTATTAAAAATCTAATTATAATTCCCACCAAATAGGGGAGAAATGATGGACTTGCTCTTTTCTTTAAATAAATAAATAAATATAAAAGAAAACAGTAAAACAACAAAAAATAAGAAAAAACTGCAAATGGACTCTCATAACTTTTTAAAAGTACATATAAATCACACTGAAAACAATTAAATAAATATTAATATATAAAAATAATAATTTAGAAACAACGAACATTTCATATTTCCCAATCAAACTCAACAATCCATCCACACTCATGGTCAAACTCTACCTCCACCGGTCACACCGTCAACACTAGCATTTAAAAAAAAAAAGATTGAATAAAAAATTAGTAGCCTAGATCGTAGAACCACCACCGACAAACTCCTAACCAACCCTTCGTTATCCATTGCAAAAACCAAACCAGCAGCCTAAATCCCAGAATTACCACCAGCAACGGACATCTCACCAGCTATTGCCAAAAAATAAATAGAAAAAGAACTAAAAAAATGGCTATTGAAGTGAATTAAAAAAAACTAAGTCAATTAGCTGGATCATCATCAAATGAGAGCCCCTTGACATGTTGAGGGAAAAAGATGCCTCTATTCAGAATTAATTATTAGTAACTTCTTAACAATTTTGAGGGAGGAATAGAGTTGGGGACCATAAAATTAAATTATTAAAGTTTTCACGTTGACTAGATAATAGAATAAATTTTTAAGTTACTGATAATATTAGATGAACACGTGTATAATTCTATTAGCAGACTTGTAGGTTGTAGCCTCACTAGGTGATGCAACCATTAAAATAGTGTTATTAATTTTTGTTTCTGTCTTGTCACGTTATGAGTTACGTTTTCATATGAGCCATTCCTTTATTAAACCAACTACTATATAAGTTTTTCTTTAATTTGTTATCATATTATTTTGTAAACAAGTTGTTTCAGTCATCTTCACATACATTGATAGGTTCATCTTATCCCATCAAGACTCCAAACCACCCATCTTTCATTTATTCGTGTGTGTTTAAATTGTATATGTTTTAACATTGGACTTAGTGATGATGTTTGTGTCTACATTGGACATGTTTTAATGTTTGACTTAATCATGTTTGTGACTATATTGAACATGTTTTAATGTTTGATCCACCTAGTCTTTATTTCACATGTTTTAGACTAGTTAAATTATTTTAAGGGTAAAATAGTTAAGTAGTTTACCCAACAACCCCAATGTAGTGCATTGTATTTTATTATGTGTTTTCCCTTGCTGAATATATTAGATATTAGAGATGGAAAAAAATTTCGTTCAACACAGTACTCGTGGGCCCCACCCCGAATGAGACGGGGATTACCGGCCTAATCAGGTAAACGAGGCGGGAGACATTGCCCCAAAGCGGGTAGGGAAAACATAGTCCTGCCTCTTTATCCGCCCTATTTAAAGTTAATTTTGAATTTAAGTTTTTTAACGCAGGTCATTGCCCTGAAGCGGGTATGGGACGGGTACGAGAAACATAGTCTCCACACCGCTACCTACCCCATTTAAAGTTAATTTCAAATTTAAGTTTTTTATCAAACAAAAATAATATATTTATCATCATTTTTAAAGAGAACATATGTTGTTTTTAACAAATTGGAATATTTATTAACTAAAGATATAAAAAAAAAAAATAAAAGCAAAAAATAAAAATAAAAATAAAAAAGAAAAAAAAATAAATGGGACGATAAATGGGGTAAGGCCCCGCCCCGCCTTCGAGTAGACAATACTTAAGAGGAACAACAGAGTAAAATATATGGATTGTCTTCAGGAAGAAGATAAATGTGGGTGGAATCCTGTTAGAATGGCATTATTTATATCAAGCTAAAGACATACAAAACACTCGTTAATAACTTACTTATCATTATTCAAATAATTGTTACATATTTCCACATAATCTGTCCATGGAAATAAGAAAGAGAATTCTTTCACTTGTTTTGAACTAGAATGCACAACATGCTTTTTTCTTAAAAGAAGAAGACGAAAACTAGTATCGTAGCTCCTTTTATTAGTAAAGCCTATGCTTTCCTGGTTGAAACATGACCATAGCCGGCCAGCAAGTTGAGTGGATTAGGGCAATCCATAACCTATAATTTAGCACTGCATATATAGTGATTGGAAGCCAAGCAAGAGCAGCAACAAGCCTTGGCAACTGCTCATGCTTTTCCTCGTTGTACACCAAAAAGAAGGTTGCACTAAATGTTAAGACCATACAAACAATTGAAGCAAAGAGTGAAACTAGTCCAACCATCAACTTTGCTGGTAAAGAAAATAGAAAATCATCTTCTGTATAGCGTGAAGTTAAGATAGACAAGAACATCATTATGGAAGTTGTCGAGCTGAACATTGCCACTGCATCAGATATAACAAAAATTGTGAACCACCTGTTCTTCAAGAATACTGGAGTTCCTGTTTCATTATTGCCGCCTGGTACAGTAAAGGTTGCAGCAAACGCGACCGTGGCAATTAAAGTTGGCACGACCATGCAAGAAGTTGCGGTCTTCTTCATCCACTCTTCACCATCTTTGCTTAAATTCTTGTGCTCCTCTGAAAATAACTCCCTTGGTGTTTTGTCGTCATTGTTTTTCATATCAAATAATGAATGTGATACAATCTTCTCCACCTCCTGAAAAGGTTACTCAAATTATTGCATATTGCAAAATCCTCCAAAATCTAACTCTCACATGGTGAATAAGTAGAATAATCAATTAGAGATTTCAAGTAACATGGTCCACATATATATTCAAAGATAAATAGAAATTATTCAATTTCACTACCATGTTAATTTCTCACCTTAAACCATTGTAGCTCTCTCTGCATTTGAAGAGCTGCTCCAGATACAATATTGAGTCTGCTTGGAGGTGCTAATTTCCCGGCCAAGTGCAAAATGTTGTTTCCTTCTTTATCTTTATAGAGTGTAATTAAATCCTTAAAAGCTCCTATTTGGTGGATGAGATTGAACACTTTCTCTTGTCGGTTTATAACAGCAACATGAAATATGGAGTATTTATTTAAGTCGACTTTCCATATAAGATCAGGATATAAGTGAGCAAACAGAGTCAGAAACTCAACATTCCCTATTTTTGCAGCATCATGAAATACTTGAGTCTCTTGAATTAGTTTTATGATGTCGGAGTCTGGTAATGTCATAATCTGTTCCCTCAGCCCCTTTACCAACCGACTGGCTTGTCTCCGCATTTGAAGTGAACTATATATCCTTTTGAAATCTAAACATCTTTGCAAAATTAACATGTGGACTACAAACCCAAAAAATTCGAAAAACTAGGAGTAAACCGGCATTTGCTAGACAGTTATGAAGTTAATCCTAGTTTAGATCGAAAAGACATTAATGTAGTGTGGGATATTAGAACCCTTATAATTATCAATATAGAGAAAAAAATATATGTAAAGATTAATGGTACAATTGAAAAAGCTTCAACACATACTCAATGATAAATTTAGTTCATAACTATTTTTATCATTCATTCAGTTTTACTTAAAATTCATTGTTGGAATGGTTAATCCATATACTGGGCAATTAGCATTTTAACTGTTTATATAGTTTTCTTGTTCTTCCCGTCATCAACTTAACGTAAGATATCCATGAGGCTATAATCTGAGGATCAATTTTATCTAGAAATCTTTTGAATGCAAGAGTTGAATTACAGTACTTCATCAAGTATATACGAGTGGTCGACTAACTTGTGGAAAAACGTGAGAAAGATTCCTGATACTTACATGGAATATAAGGGACAGTAAAAATGATGCTAACAAGAGTTTCCCATATCCGTTCTTGAATTCTGTGATTGTGTGATAAAGGTTTTCGAGCTAAAATTTTTAAAGCCCTTCCTTTGTCTGTTGTTGGAGAAGTAACAATTTTTGCACCCGCCGCATTTAATATCTTCAAAGCAATATCTGCTCAAAGAAAAGCAAGACCTATTTCCTCATTTAAATATGTAGAAGAAGCATATTTTTTTGTGGGTATTTAGACCTAATTTGTCACTTAATCAAAAAGATTTCATACCAAACATGTCAGTGTGGATAGTTGCTACAAGAATCTCGATACATTCCTCGGCATTGAGATCTTCAAGAGGTGTAATTGGGTAAAGATACTCAACCATTTTTCTGTTTCTGAGCAAAATTGCCATTTCAAGTGGGGTCTTTCCTATGCTACCTCGAATTGTTGTCAAATTCTTATTTTTTTCGTACATGACCTTGGCAATTTCTACAACCCCTGATACAACTGCAAAATAGAAAGCTGTATGTCCATGTCTATTCTGCAATTCCAGGTCACTTGTATTCAAGTGTTCGACTAGATTGTGGACAAAAGCAGTTTGCTTGGCGGCAGCAGCTATGTGAAGAGCCCTATCTCCTCTTTCTGTTATCTCAATACAAGCTATATTTTTGTCCTGACTCAGAGCAGTTTTAGCAGCCTTCCAATCACCTCTTAGAGAAGCTCGATATAAATCGGGGCCAAGCCGAGTGTTTACTTTTCCTTTTCCTGATATGTTTGGGGAGACCATCGTTAAATGTGTTAAAGAGGCATAAAGCTCCACAACTTCGCAAGAAATACCATGCAACACGTATAAAACCAAGGGAGAGGTAAACTAGCATACATAAAGTATACAATCATCACCTCTTAATATAGGTCGAGTGGTTCAGCATCAAATCAGAGCCTATGAAACTCAAACAAGTAATTCAGGTTCCAATATTGGTGCTCACAAATGAAACACCATTTTGAAGGCATAACAAGGGTAAAATCTCACATTAGCTAAATATTAAAATAATATATGACGCTCAAGTGTTTCTGTTACTATTTTAGCTACTGTTGACCTTTTAAAATGAAATTCAAAGACACAATAGCATATAAGTGTGTATTGGGAAAAAAAATGTTAACAATGTAGATGAAGAGATTATCTCATCAACGAAGTAATTTTGAGTAGGGATGTCTTATTTATGAAGATGATGCTTGGAACCGAGAGAGAAAAGCCATGGTTACTATACTCATCAAGAATGGAAGTCTCCATATTCTAGAATATAAGATGTGAAATAAAACCACTACCACTGAAAAAGAAAAGCTAATGGAAGTATTGCATTTGTTTAGAAAAATATATAAAAATGTACACATGTATTTAGTTTGCTCATGTCATGAAGTGAAAAACAAACTTCAAAAAACTTACTTTGATGAACAATCAGATGTTGTGCATTGGAATTGGCGTTGGCAATGGAAATTGGACTTTCAACTTTGATTTCAATCTGGTTATGCATATTTCAATTTGATTTCAACAAGTTGCTTCACAAAATCTAGACTAATGGTTGTAGCTTGGTCTTACAAACTTCTGCAAGACTTGGGAAACTTTTTACACAGAAAAATGCACAACTTATGACTAGGCCTTTTAAACGAATTCCCCTCAAAGATATGTACTATGCACAACCTCTCACGTTCCATTTAGTCAAGTCACAATCATAAAATTCTAAGTAAAAAGTTTTTTTATAAGCAGTCTTTCAAATAAATTCATTTTCATTTTCAAACTCAAAAGTTAACACTAATGCAATACTAAACTATTGGGAATGCTAAACCTGTGACATAGAATGGAATCGTACACTCAATGCCAATTGAAGTAATCGGAGGCAAAAATACGTCAATTAAAACTCCACTAAATGAACGCTAAAATGTCTTTCATCATTGAAGAAAAAGATTCTCGAGAGTAACGTGTTGCTTCTCAAAATCTAGGCTGATGGTTGGAGCTATTTCTTACAAACTCCTGCATGACTTTTAAAAAATATGACCGATACACAACTTCTCATGTCCCATATTGGAATCGTACACTCTATGCCAATTGAAGTAATGAGCGGCAAAAGTAAAGCAATTCCAGGGATTTAGTTTATTTCTTTCTCTCGTCGATAAATAAAAAAAATGATGGGATTTAAAAGAATACAATCAAGTTCACAAGTAGAGATGCACACACAATAGTCAGACATTTTTTTGTCTCTCTCTCAAAATACAAATCTTTGTGAATTAATTTTTTGTTTTTGTTTGAGAACTCATAGTCAGCTATTAATTAAAAAAGTTGTTGAGTTAGAATGTAAACAAGAACGTTGGTACATACTAGAATGGTTGATGATATAAAGAATGATTATGACAACATTTAATAGAAAATTGTACTTTCAATTAACTACTGATCATAAGAAAAATAAATAAATGAATAATATTGTAGTTGAATCACCTCAAAAGCTCTCCTGTACGTATTTCACTAAATATAAAATCGGACTAATTTCTGATTGTAAAGTGTAGAGGCTCTGGCCTAATGAATAATTTTTCTTTGTATGAAGTTAAAAGTGATGGTTCAAATACAATACAGATATGAATCAACTCTAAAACATACATATAATAACGCAAGTGTCTGAGGATTAGCGGTTGAAAGTGATGTCTAATGAATAATTTCTAAAGTTTCAAGAAAATGTTTTGTTTGAGTTCACGTTCAACCTCAAAGTTTCAGGATATTCTATTGGGATTTCAATCTTGTTCAAAGACCAGAGTCCGAATTTAACATTAAACACATAATTCGGAGATTCAAAGTTAAATGGTGGTCTAAATTTCATGAAACTAACTGCTATCCCAAAATTGTTAATTCATGGATTTAAAAACAAAGACATATTGGCATTCCAAAAGTTTTTCCAAGAAAGATCAAGTCATGCCAATTTCCTTACCGAAAAATCAAGACTACTATCAATGTTTCATCAGTGCAAGAGACACCAGAGGAATTAGCAAATATTTATGAGAAAATTACTAATTTGGCATAATCAACTTCAAGAAAATCCAAATCGATTAAAGAGAGTTCTTCTCCAACAAGTTCAGAAAGAGATTATGCCCAAAACAATGAAGATCACTGTTACGGGATAAATATCGATGAATTAATTGAAAAAGCAAATCAAAGAAACCCAAAAGATTCAAAATGATTATATGGACCCAACTATTTGAATGAATATCGACAATACAGAGTTCATAATTCAAGAAATATTCTCTTTCAATTATACCTTCCACATCAAAAGCTATCTTTGCCGGTATTGCCATCAAGCAAAATAAATAATGACAAAATTTTTTAGAAGATTCCATTTTAATCAACTTTATAAAAGTTGACGTTATTTCAAAAAAGAAGAGGCCAAGTGGCGCAATCCAACAACATAAATGTTAGTCAGAGATCATAATATATTATATGATGTGTAATCAACTTTATTAAAGTTAGTCAGAAAATTCCATTTTAATCAACTTTATTAAAGTTATTTTATAAAAGTTGAGGTTATTTCAAAAAAGGCGATGCCAAGTGGTGTAATCCAACAACATAAATGTTAGTCAAAGATCATAATATATTATATGATGTGAAATTGTCACATAATCTTTTAATTTGACTAAATATAGATTTTGTCTGTCTAGCTAATCATAAATGTCCACGTGTAAATTATTTTGAAATAATTATGCTACGTGTACATCTTATTTTACATCATTTTTGATATTGTGTTATGTGACGGTACATGATTGGACAATTTTGAAAAAAAAAAAAACACTTTCCCGTCCAACACTTTTTGAACTCCAACTAAATGTACACAAAGATGTGAATCCCACAATGTAGCATTATTCATTTTGAAATACGAAATTGTCCGTATGAAAACTGTGAGGTTTTCGCTCTCTAACTTATTTCAAGGTCATGGGGTTTTTTTTTTTCATCTACTTCCTCTATTTCATAAATATGGATTTACTATCAATTTCCATTTGACCCAAATTATAGATCACTTGTTGAGTGTATAGTTAATTTCTTGATTTTTTTTTAATATGCTCTTATTTAATTTATCTTAATATCAACAAATATAAACTACTATTATTCAATATAGGGATATACTAAGAAAAAAACGCAAGTAAAATTTATGACTTCAACTATATTAATTAAGTTTCTTAGATGTGTTCTTCACATCAATTTCTCGAGTTTCATAGTGAACATAATTTAATTACTATAGAATGTTAACCCTACGGACACTGCAACAAAATGTACTTTTTACGGCGTGCAATGCATGCCATAAAAACCTCTTTACGGTGTGCAGAGTACACCATCTATAGAACGCCGTAAATTTTTTTTACGGCGTTCAGTTGCACGTTGTAAAAAGTGCAATTTAAAGCATACCTATGTACGTCGTAAAAAAGTATCAAACTTTTTAATGCCTTTTAAGGCGTTCAGTGAAAGCATGCCGTAAAATGTTTTGCAATTTATGACATGCTTATGCACGCCGTAAATATCAATTTAATTTTTTTAAAATTATTTATTTATTTGATTACCAACAAACCTATAATAATAACAAAACAAAATTAATCCATAAATTGTTTCGATAAATAAAAATATTGAATACGGTTCAATACAGTATATCAATGTAAAGTTCATCTCAACAATTTTCAAAAGGCTACCACTTCAAAAATAAAAAAAAATAAAAAAAAAATGATTGGACCATATTAAAGTTAACTTCTTCGACCGACAATTTAGCTATCCCACAAATAGTAGCTCCTCGCACACCATAGAAATAATAAGGGTATGGTTAATAAACTTAGAGTGTGCATGTAAATCAAAAGCATATCAAGAAACATATTAATTTTTATCTAATCATCGTAGTACATATGACAAGTAATTACTTGACTATATTGTTAGTAAAACTTTCGAGGGATTTTGATTAGCATACGAACTCTAAATGAATCCTTTCATTATTTTACCAAATCAATTCATTTACCTGCTCTCAAAATGAAAAAATCATGAGCGCACAGGTATTCATCTCTAAATGAATGCTTTCAAGATATTTTCTCTCTTTAATTTCATTTCATACCCAGAAATATCAAAAAAATCAAGAGCCTTTGTTAAAGCTATCCTTATTAAAACTGGATCGACTATCATAACCCATACTTCAAATTCTCAAAAATTAAATCATATTGATTTTTCAAAAATTAATATTCAAAAGGGTTTTATCTTATGAAGGCTGGGGACGAACCCATGGGATGAGAAGCGAATGCGTTTATCTAAAGATGAAATGTTTGAATCTCATTTCAATTGTTTTGACTACAAGAATACTTGGTATCATGTTTTTTACTTTAAACTAATGACTCATTCTTGGTTTATACTTTTTAACCAAGCACGCCCTTCAAATTTTTCAAAGTGATTTCAAATATAGTTTGAATATTTTGGACTTGATGAAAATGTTTTACCCAGTCTTACTCACTAAGGATTCGAACATTTCTTGAATGAATATCGACAATATAGAGTTCATAATTCAAGAAATATTCTCTTTCAATTATAACTTCCACCTCATACACAGTTTCATGAACTCTATATCCCTGTGCTGACTTCGGTTGTTAGGTTAGTGGGCTCATGACTGATGACCGATTGAAGGGTTGTTGGCTGATCGAATGGTGATAATTTGGGAGAGAACGACGATCATTGGTGGATCATTTACGGCGTGCAAAGAATGTACGCTGTATATGATCAATACTTTATACAATTAATCATTTACGGCACACATTTAAGGCAGTCGTAAAAAGTCTATTTTTACGGCAAGCGTCAATTGCACGCCGTAAACATATACCATAAAAAGCTATTTTTGTTGTAGTGCTTCCACCTCAAAAGCTATTTTGTGAGCATAGCCATCAATCAAAATAAATAATGACAAAAAACTTTAATACAGAAGATTCCATTTTAATCAACTTTATTAAAGTTACTTTATAAAAGTTGACGCTATTTCAAAATAAAAAATGATGCCAAGTGGCATAATCCAACAACATAAATGTTAGTCAGAGATCATAATATATTATATGATGTGTAATTTGTCACATAATCTTTTAATTTGACTAAATATAGATTTTGTCTGTCTAGCTAATCATAAATGTCTCTGTGTAAACTATTTTGAAACAATTATGCTACGTGTACATTTTATTTTACATCATTTTTGATATTGTGTCACGTGACGATACATTATTGAACAATTTTGAAATTTATGTACACAAAGATATCAATCCCACAATGTAGCATTATTCATTTTGAAATACAAAATTGTCCAAATGCAAACTGTGAGGTTTTCGCTCTCTAACTTATTTCAAGGTCATGGGTTTTTTCTAATCTACTTCCTCTATTTCATAAAGATGGATTTACTATCTATTTCCATTTGACCCAAATTATAGATCACTTGTTGAGAGTATAGTTAATTTCTTGATTTTTTTAATGTGCTCTTATTTAATT